TAGGATTAACACCAGACTTGTAGTGATATGAATATTAAATGAGACAATACATGTATAAAAGCACAACACTGGTACAAAACAGCATCAATAAATGATACACCTAACATTACGACTATATTTACTACCATTGTTCCTCCCATTTCTTTAATTTCCTCATCTTCCTTTGGCCTGGCACTGTCCTGTTACAGGAGATATGGTGAAATAGAGATTCATCCTCAGAGCCTGCACCAAATTTACAATCCAACCACACTTTCCAGTTGAATTTTCTGCGATGATGAAAATGTCCTATATGTGTATTCTCCAGAATGTGGCCAAAAGCCATATGTGACATTTAACATTAAAAATGTGACCAGTGTGGGCCTCCCCGGTGGCGCAGCGGTTGAGCACTGGGTTGCGAAGCTGCCGGCAACCTCTGCGGCGCCGGTTCGATCCCCGGCTGCTCCCCGGCCACCAGAGGAGGGTCCCACATGGCGCGCAGACCTCTCCTGCCGCCCGCTGCTCCCCTCAGCAGTGTACTTCGGTCCTTCTGCCTGCTCTGCTCCCCGCTCTGGCTCTGGTGAATTCTCTCACCCTCCCACGCTTCTGACTGTACCCAGTGCATGTATAAAACAAAACAAACAAATAAATAAATAAATAAATAAATAAAAAAAACATGCCTCTATAAATTAAAAAAAAAAAATGTGACCAGTGTGACTAAGGAAATGAATTTTTAATTTAATTTTAATGAAGTAAATGAAAATAGAAATAGTCACCTGTGGAAAGAGCACAGCTCCTGACCCCTCTCAGGTACATTTCTGACACAGCCTGAGCAGACAGGCTGGTACTTTATGTGAAACACACATAAACAAACATGTGTGTTTCACATAAAGTACCCAGAAAACACACTTAACTGTTCATTATCACATATAATTGTGTACTGTGCACAAGTACTATCTTGGGTACTGGGTATACAGTGAAGAATTAGGCACAGTCTTTGCTCCAGGGAACTCACAGTTTAGTGGGGGATATGCAGGCAAGCAATTTCTCCACTGTAAGGAAAGTGTGTGTACGGATGCTATGGGAGAAACGTCTCAAAGTGGTCCTAGAAGCACATTTTTAAAGACCTGGGCAGAATCTTGAATAAATAGATTTCATACTTGGAACTCAATGGATATTTATTCCATTTACAATGAAAGGTTATATTTCAGGGTCACTAGCCCTGAAACCCACTGCTGGTAGCAGAGGTCATCATGAGGCAATCATGGTCTTAGGGGAAATTCATAGATAAGGCCAATTTATTTTCTTTGAAAACCTCCCCTTTGCATCTTTGGTATTGCCTAATTCAATTTCTGCTGCCATTATTTTCCTTACCTGAGAACATTTTTGGGGGTGATGCATATATAACCTTTATTTTTTATTGTTTTACTAGTACTTTCTAATTAGGATTTTTTTTTTTTTTTTTTTTTGCAGGGAGTGGCAAGGGTAGATAAACTCAGTTAAATATAAAGTGACATCAACTCTCACTGCACTTTGGCTGTGGAATGTTGGGTCTTGAAGCCAACAGCTATGAGAATATGGCTGGTTTGGGAAGAGCCACTTACTAATTGGCTGGGCTGGCTGAATCTGCCAAGGGCCTTGAGGCACATTCATGAGGGCTGTTTTAATTATGTATACCGAGAAGTGGGATGTTATGACCAATTACAATTTTTACACAATATTTTATTTCTTCAAAGTTAATATGTAACATCTCACCAAATAATTCTGCAACTGTCACCGGCTCACATAAAAACAGGTACAGTCATATATTATATGGTTTTCTTTAACAAGCTTGTGTGTACCAAGCAGGATGAGAATCATGATTCCTTCTTCCCTGAGGGCAAGGGAATGTTTGTGTAGTCTGACTTGATAGTGTGAGGCCCTGGTATAGTTGAGCCCTGAGGTGTCCCCTGATTAGACTGGTGGGTGCAAATGTAAATTAGTGTGGCCTTTTCAAAAAGTGACTCATATATGTTAGGAGCCATAAAACATTTCATGCCCTTTAACCCATGATTCCACTTCTGGATATCTATCCAAGGAAGTAATTGGAAATGTGTACAACAAAGACTTTGCCCAGGGACATTGTGCAGAGTTATTTGTAGTTGCAAAAGACAGGAAACAGCTTAAATGCTTAACAAATAATATGCAGCCATGAAAATGATGTTCATGAAGGACTTTCCGACAAGAGTAACTAAGAAAAGTGCAGAGAGCTGAAATCTACAGAGGCTAAGCAACTGCCTACAAGTCAGAAAGCTTGAGGTTTTAGTAAACTCCAGCCATATTTGCTAATCATTTTCAAGAATATGAGATGATACCTAAGATTCTAGGAATATGGATGATAGCTAAGATTCCAGGTTTCCTGGGGTTACATTCGAGAATATATTGATTAAATCATAACTTAAAAACTGTCCACAATATCTAAAAGAAACATGCATTGAAGTAAGTAAAAAATAGTTATTACAGAGTTTGGATAGGGAGGTGGTAGTACCTTTGAATCCTGGCTCTGCCACTTAATAGCCATGTGACTTGGGCAAGTCAACTGAAATCTCTGTGGATTTGATAAGAATACCTTCCCCAGAGTGACTTTTGAGGGTTAAATGACACAGTGAATATAAATATCTTAACCTGCAAAGTACATTGATTAGGTACCCAATAAATGTATGGATTGTATGGATCTGTATGGATTGTACAATTTCAAGGCATAAAAATAATGGAAAGTTAATGTTAACATACTGACAGTATGCAATCTGGGTGGTGGAATTGGGAGTGGTTTGTTTGATTCTTTGCACACTTTTCAACTTTCCAAATTTTCTGCAGTGAACATGAATTGCTTTTATATCAAAAGGGTGTATCATGATGATGAAATGCTTTTAAAAGGAGTTTTACTGTGATAAAACTATAATTCACTTCTTCCCCTTTCCCTCCAGGAGAGGAGCTGGGGGCCAGTATCCTCTCCTGGAATGAGCACAAGAGGGAAAAGCTGCTGCTTTCTGGGTTTCTCCTCTGGCAGAGCCTCGTAAGTGCACAGCCAGGACCTCTGGGAGTTCAGGGCTGATGGGACCCTCCCAACCTGCTGAAGAGCTCTCTGGAGAATTGTGGGAGGGGTTGAGTTGGAATAGAAGCCCTTAATTCTCATATCTCTGAGAGTCTAGATTCCAAGACGCTCTGATGTTTATTATTTTCTCTCCAGACCTTTGTTGATCTGAACCAAAGATCTACATAAAATTGTAAAATGTAATGAGGAAGACTCATCTACTTGTTCACCACTCCCAAATCCCTCCCAGGAAAAAAAAACAAAACAAAACCAAACACCTGTAATAAGGCCTATAGCACTAAATATAAATGTTAAGAGTGATGTCAAAGAAAAATCTTAGATACCATAGAGAAATTAGCTTGGTTACAGCAGCTTGATTTAATAAATATAATTTATATTCAGCACACAATCTCTGGCAAACACAGCCCTTTTTAACATAACAAACATTGAAACCCCTTCCTACCTTAAGACATCATCTGTGGAACAAAAGGATATAAAGTACAAAAATAGGGTTTGTGTGTGTGTGTGTGTGTGTGTGCACGTGACCAAACCTTGATGACCTTTGCCCCCTATGATCTAATGTCCTTCACTGACATCGAGGATGCCCTGTGCTCCAATTAAGTAGCTTGCAGGTTGTATTTTACAGACAAAGACCCCTTGGCACCGAAAGAACTAAGATTCTCCTCCAATTCCAATTCAAACCCGAGGAACAGTTCCAGCCCTGTCCCAACCTCTGTGTGCTCATCCGTGACTCCTCCTGATCCACACCTCCAGACGCAAGGTGCATTTCCCCAAACCCTAACCCCCGGACACGACAGAAAGACAAACAACCTTCCCCTTTCCCACCCGCCTTCCGGACAGCTAGGTCATCCTATGCTAATGAAGCCCGAGGAAACCGCCGGCCGCGCTAGCGAGCGCGTCCCTAGCTTGGCGCTCTCCCGCGCGCCACTGCGGCGCAGCCACAAATCACCCCCCGCTGCCGCAGACCCTCGCTGCGCGCGGGGCCGCGGGGAGAGGGGTTTGCCCGCCACCCCGAGTTCCGCTACTGGATCGCTCACATCTGGGAGAAGCTCCCCACTCCGTCTCACCTTTTCCACTGCAGTGATGGCGGGGCTGGGGGCGGCGCATCGGAATCACCTGTAGGGTTTCTCCGTACTCCACAGCCCCCTCCCCAAATTCTACTCCACTCTACCAAAGGCAGAAAATCGCAGAATATGCAGGGTGAGTGGAATGGTGGAGTTTGTGCAAGCCCCACAGGTGATACGGGGTGCGCGCTCCTCGACAGGCAGGCACACACAAACACACGAGCGCGCGCGAACACACACACACACACACACACACACACACACACACGCTTTTGACTAGGAGACTATATAGGTCAACTTTATGCGCTCTACCTGGCTTGCCTCTCTATCCCTCTATCTGATATTTATAAAAGGTGCCCGTGTTGTCTTCGGCTGCCCTTTCAGCTCCCCTACCCACAGGGGCTTCGTAGAGTGCCCCCAAGTCCTGGCACCCCGCGGGACGGCCAGAGGCTTTGGCAGTCAGACCCAGAAAAAGTGGCCCCCTCTCCTTGCAACGCAGAAGGCGAACTGGATACCAACGAACCAAGGTAAGTCTACGAGAGAATTCTGACTAGTTGCTTCAGGCAACTGCCTGGAGCGAGGCCGCCTCCCGCCAGCACTCCTGGGAGGTCTGGAAGGTCCACAATCACAGAGCCAGCAGGTGACCCACCCCGGGGCCCTCCCAGTGCCCTCACCCTTCCAGCGGGGGATCTCCTTCTGCAAGGGCTTTGCGGCAGGTGGCAACGTCGGAGTGAGCGCAGTGGCCTTGGCTGCAGCCCCTTCCCCTGCCACGGGAATGGCTACCGTTTTGCTCTCCTTTTCCAAGTTGCTGCAGCCCGCGCCCCCGGAACCCGAGACCCCCTCCCCTGAGCCCGCCACCTTCTTACCTCACCATGCAACACTTGGTTGCGCGGCTCCCCGGAGCGCTCCTTGGTGCTTATTCCCTTACTTGGGAGGAAAGAGGAACCGAGAGACAGAAGGGGGACAGAAGCTGGCGTCAGGGCGTCTTCCCGCCGGCGCTGCTCTCTTGGGGAAGGGAATGGCAGCCCGAGCGAGCGCCGCGGGGCTTGGGTGGGGGGTAGGGGGGGTGGGGGCGGAGTAAGGTTGGGCTGCGCCGGGGTCTTCTGCCTGGTGGGTTTTCCGCGGCTGCAAAGCAATCCGCTCTGCTGCGGGCGAGTACGGCACTGCGGCTCCCTGCCCCTAGCAGCCTACTAAGTCCAGCTGCCACTCTCACCGCGGAGCCCTGCCCCTGGGTGCAGAGCCCGCCCCCGCCACACTCCCGCGCGCGCGCATACACACGCGCCACACACAAACACACACGCGCGCACACGCACGCACACACATGAATGCGGATCAGCTTAGTGGGAACACTAGCCCCTTTGATGCAACTTGGACGCTGGCATCTTTAAGGGGTGTCTTAACATCCTACCGATGGGGCTTTGAGGAGGGAGGAGTTAGAGTTTCAGAGGTGTAGAGAGGATGCACCAGAGGGGGTATCCGCTGGATGCCAGAAGACATCTGACCCCGGGGACGGAGGACAACCGTTTGACAAAATCCCCGTTGAGCATATTCACATCTCAACCAGTCTAGGCGGCCTTAATACCGCCACCAAATCAGAAAAGGACAAAAAAAAAAATCGATTTCTTTCTGTTTCTCATGAACTCAATATTTCTAGTCTCCAAATCATTTCTCCTATCCAGGGGCACGTTTCTGTCTCTGTCTCTATCTCCCTCTCTCTCTCTCTCTCTCTCTCTGTGTGTGTGTGTGTGTGTGTGTGTGTGTGTGTGTGTGTGTGTGTGTAGGCTCTGATACCGGTGTCAGGAGTTGTAGCTGGCTAGTCAGTCTGAAAATTCCTCTCTCTGTAGGTACTGGGGGGCGGTGGGGGGGGGCGGGGAGGGATCATAGTGGCCAGACCTGGACTCTGATGACCAGGTCAGATCTCAGGACTAAAGGTCACTGATCCCTTTCTTTGCTTTTAGATGACAGTAGGCTGTTTCCCTGCACAGCAAACAGACCTCTTCTTATTTTTATAAAGCAGAAAAAACACAGAAGAGTCACTGGGAGGGAGGAGTAAGGGATGAGGGGCAGCATTTGCTAAGGCACTAGTGACTTGTTGCTTCTTTTCTTTCCATGACGTGCATGCCCTCATTTAGGGTGGTGGGGGGTGGTGGCAACACTATTTCAGGCATGTCACACCAGCAAGATGACTTCTGTCCATTTCACACCACATTTAGAGTCATCAGGAGTTTGAATTCTCATCTGTAAAATATGTGGAGTTTACCAGTTTCCACAGCTGAGAATTCTTTTCCGCCAGCAGGCAGTGAAGGTCCCCAGGCCAGGACTGTAGCCAAGAAAAGCTTTCTGTAGATGCAGAGGCGCCAAGGGGCTCTGCATGTCTGGGCATTTGGAGAAGAGGCCTCAAACATGAATGTCAAAGAACCCCAAGGACCCTGGTGGTCAGTGTCCATATTGGGCCATTTGTAGGCAGATTGATGGGACAGATGAGAACTGTGGCTCTGACATTCCCCCGAGGTTCCATGGGGCAACGAAGGCCGAGTCAATACCAGAAGGGCATGTTCACACGTCATGCTAGCATGCACCATTCACATTTCATTCTAGCACCCTTTGTTGGTTCTCAAAGTCCTTCAGCTACACTGAGATCATCCCTGTGGGGGAGGTCTCAAAGTTTTCTTTTTTAACCTTTTCTTGTTTCTTTTTCGTTCCCTGACTCATTTGACAACTATCTATTAGGCTCTTACTATGTGCTCAGATACTTTCCTCACAGCCTTGAAAAGCCCAAGGCTTTCCTTGGGAAGAAAGAGGGCTTACAACTGTCTTTGCCCCAGCTAGAGAAGGCAAAAGATAGACTCACTGGATATATTTTTATGAGGTTGAGCAGAGGTGGAAGCTACGGTCCTTACCTGCTGAACCACATTCTCTATGGAGGAAAATACACCTGTGAAAAGAAAAATATTCTTGCTCTGTCTATTCCTGACTCTTCAAGAAAGTGGAACTAGGAGCAGTCTAGACTCAGCTGAGCATCAGGATGCATTTGGAGATGTGTGCTTGCAGGCAGGGCTTGGGGCAACATTAGCTGTTCTATGAGAATAAGAAGGAAATAAGTTGGGGAGGAATGGGGAAAGCACACAGAGGTAGAGTGCGGAGACTCAACCTGGCTGAGAATGACCCGAGGAAGGCTGATGAGAGAAAAACTTCTTGGCCCCGCAAGGATTTTGAGAAACTGAAATGCTTGCAGAGACTGCTAATCAGTTGACTGTGGGCTGTGGGAGAGAGTCCCTTCTCTCCGCTCTTCCTGTGAAACGGATGACTTGTAAAGCTGATATTGTTCCCCAATTTGTCTGTGACTATATTCCTTTGGGGAGCTCACAGTGACGCTAGTTCTGCACCTGTGTTGATTCAGAGTGAATACAGAGAAGCCTGTGTAGACTAGGGGTCGCTGGGCTGCATGATAACATGTGGAAAGAGGGCTGTAATAGAGATCAAAGCAACGTGGGAGTCACAAGAGCTTAGGTGAGAAGAAACATCTAGAAGACCACTTATGTTGACTGATGGATTAGGTAAGATTTCTTTTTTTTTTTTAGTTTTTTTTTTAAGATTTATTTATTTATTTATTTATTTATTTATTTATTTATTTATGCAAGCACTGGGTACAGTCAGAAGCGCGGGAGGGTGAGAGAATTCACCAGAGCCAGAGCGGGGAGCAGAGCAGGCAGAAGGACCGAAGTACACTGCTGAGGGGAGCAGCGGGCGGCAGGAGAGGTCCGCGGGCCATGTGGGACCCTCCTCCAGTGGCCGGGGAGCAGCCGGGGATCGCACCAGTGCCGCAGAGGCTGCGGGCAGCTTTGCAACCCAGCGCTCAACCGCTGTGCCACTGGGGAGGCCCGTAAGATTTCTTGATGGGCTTTGCGAGAGGATTTGGGGTCTGACACCAAGATCAGCAGGCAAGGGCACTCTAGGCTGAGGGAAAGAAAAAGCTCAGATGTAGGACAACTCATGGTGAGTTCTGGGACTTCAGTAGAAGAAAGGAAGATTGTATTGTTCAGGGCCCCCAAATGCCTTGTCAGGAGGATAGACTGGGTCCTGAGAATCAAGAAGCTATTGAAAGTGTGTATTATTTTTGTTGTTTTCTTGTTTGTCTTTGACAGAGAAGAAAATGGTAAACAAGCTGGGAAGCCTCTTAAGTTAGTTTTCTCCAGTTAGGCCTACCCTGTTACGATGGAGAGCCGGGAGGGCTATGGGGAGAGAGATCATCTTACCGTCATGGTGAGGAACCACAACCCACTGGCTCACTGCACTGGGCAGCCAGTTGAGGGGCTGGCTGTTCAGCCAGGGCTCCTCTGCTGCAGAAAGGGGCTCCTTTCTGATTTGCACAGAGGCTTGGTGTGGGCTCAACTCTGTCTTTGAAAAGGCTGAAGCCACAGTGGAGCGAGTGAAGAGACATTGAGCATATGCTATGTGTGGAAATGCAAGATTTTGCAGATTCTTGAAGTCAGGAGATTGTGAGCCTGAGCATCTACCCTTGGTGACACCCTGATACATACTCGAGGGTACAGAGAAGGAAGTCTTCTTCCTCTCAGAGCATTTGCAACCCATGTCGACTCTCAAATAAACATTTCAAATGGTTAAGACGCAATATAAGACAGTATAAAATCAAGTGCCAAATTGTATATAGTGGATCCTCAGGGAGTGAGCGGAGAACTCATCTGGGCTCACACAGTCAAGGAAGGCTTCATGCAGAGGAGGTCTGTGCCTCTGAGTGGAGCAGATGCTGTGAGCAAAGGGTCAGAGCAGGGAGACTGGAGGCTTCTGAGTGGGGCTTTTAGCCCCTATGGCCACTCTGATGCCTTCCCAGTATAGCTTGAGTCCTGTGATGAATCACCCTTGTTTCTGAGAGACAGGGTATTTTTGGATGTTTAACTGGCTCAACACTTTACTTTCCCTGAGACTTCAATGTTGGCAGCTTGAACTCGCCATGTTGCCTCGGGAACACACCATCCAAGCCGGCAGCTGATGCCTAATCCCTACTGCCAAGGCAAAGCCAGGGCTGAGTCAGATACCTGTGTCTGGAAATATTTAAGTTGCACCACCTCTGACAAGCTGGGTAACAGCACGTGACACTGCATACAGCAGAGGTCACAAAGGTGGAGGTTGCTGACTGGGGACCAGGACCTGGGGTACGTCCCTGCTCTGGAGATGAGTTGGCCTTGATGAAACTCAGTTTTCTCATATGCAAAACTAAAGCTATGGTGGAAGATTGTTGGTGCTTTGGTGGTGGACATGGTGTGATGACTTACATTTGTAGTTATCCTAAACCATCTACAGTATTGTAAATCAGTGTTACCTAAAAAACATTAAACAAACAAACAAAAAACCCCACAAAGTATTACCCCAGATTCTCTCCAGGCTGCCTTCTACGCAGTATTTCATGATTTCTCAATTAATAGGATTTTTCCATTTTATCAAACGGATGGGAACGGATATTAACGAAGTACTGATTTTAACTTTCTTCTTTCCTTTGGTTCTAAAAGCTGTGCTGGAAAGATGTTGTGAGACTAAGGGATGGAGACAGGAGGGCCAAGAGGTTGGGCTTCTGGTCACAGTTTTCCATGAATGGGATTTATGCATGCAGCCTTTGGAATGTAGGCAGGTCATCCTCTTCTGTGGGACTCTGTGTTCTTCTTGGTAAAATAAGGAAGCTGGAAATGGCCTCTACAATGCCTTTTGGCTCTGATACTCTGCTAAGGACTGTTAACAGAGTGACTTTTAAGTACTACCCCATCTCCAGAGCTGCACCCCTCCACAAGGCAAATTTCTGGAATATCGACTGGTAAACTGGGGAGAAAAAAAAATCACAAAAGAAACGCTGGGGCTAAGAGTAATAAATACACCAAGTAATTGGAGTTAGAGGTCCTGGGTCTGTGTCTCTAAGACTCCATTTCCTCTTCTGTGGACTGGAGATAGGATTACCTACACCTCTCGGTGGGGTAATGATTAAGTGAAGAAGTACATGAGAAAGTGCTTTGTAAATTTAGAAGTGCTAAGCAAAAATG